TCTTCTCTTCTGCATTCTTAGTCTAAGTTTTTCAGCCTAATGCTTTTCACCTTGTCCCAAGATGGCTCTTGGAATTTAGGCAGATGTTTTCATCTAAGGCTGAAAGAGGGAGGCAGTACCAGCAGGTGTTCTTAAATCTGTTCATTTAATAAGGTAAACAAATGCTTTTTTAGAAGCCATTGTTCAGATTTCCTCTTACGTCTTATTGGCCAAAACTGGGTCAGTGACCACTGTACCTGTAGGGGATACTCGAAATGAGAAAATCTGGGATTTTTTTTCAGCTTCTCAGTTGAGGAGTAATGAAGGAGAAGAGGGTTATAATTAGCTATTGAGTTAGTCAGCTAAGTGCATGCTTTGCTTGTTGGTTGTGGTTCGTATCCTCATTACTATGTTTTTGTTAAACTCTTAGTCATTTTCTAACATGCATTGAGGCTTAGTCACTTGTCTTATAGTCTTTTTGCCCCAACTTCAAGCATTTTATGTGTTGGTGGTTTTTATGAGTTTCAGAGTGTGTTTCTCCATTATTGTGTGAGCCCATTGGCGATAATGGTGGGAATTATATTTCTGTATCCCTAGCATCTTGTGCAAAGTGCCTGGCACATAGTGGACACTTGGATGTTTGAATGTTTGAAGAAATACAAAACAGATCAGTACGTCCCTTGTGGAAAAAAGGCTTTTCTGTTGACCTTACATTTTAAGTAGTATTTATCCCAAAATTAATAATAGATGTATTATAAGCAGCAGAAAATATTACAGTTTATGTCCTAGAGCTTAAACATTTTACTTCACAAGTATCTTTTAAGTTTATTTATTTATTTATTTGAAGTGGGGGGAGAGAGAGAGAGACAGAGAAGGAAAGTGGAGGAGGGGCAGAGAAGGGGCGAGAGAGAATGCTAGGCAGGCTCTGGACGGTGCAGAGCCCGATGCAGGGCTCAAGCTCACAAACTGAGATCACCATCTGAGCCGAAGTCAGAAGCTTAACTGACTGAGCCACGCAGATCACCCTAAACATTTTATTTTAGAATCGCTTCTCCTCCATCCCTTTCTCAGGGCCTGTTTAACCTTCTCTGTCTCTCACACACATATATACACATTTTCACCTTTTTTTTTTTCTTTTGATAGTTTGGTTTTTGATACATGCATCTGGCACAAAATTCCCATGTTCTGTAACAATAAAAAGTTTGCCCTTTATTCCTATCTTTGAGCCACCTGTTTTACTTCTTTGGGTTTAACCATTGTTACCACTATCTTGTATTTCAGAAATATTTGAAACATTAATATAAAGCATATACAAGTGATAGCATACTGTACATGATTTATTGCTTTTTTTATGCTATATAAATGTTAACATCCTATACATATCTCTTTACAAATAATGGATTGCACATTTTTTGGGGCTTTTGTTTTTTTATTCACATTGTGGTATCTTATATGTTTATTTGATGTCATTCATAAAGAGTTATACAGATTCTTTTATTTATTTAGTTTTAATTTTAATTGCTGTATATATAGTGTTTAATATAGTGTTGTATTAGTTTCAGGAGTGCAGTATAGTGATTCAACAATTCTCTACATTACTCAGTGCTCATCAAGATAAATGTACTCTTGCTCTCCTTTACCTGTTTCACCCATCACCCCACCCACCTCCCTTCTGGTAACCATCAATTTGTTCTCTAGTTAAGAATCTGTATTTTGGTTTGTCTCCTTCTTTTCTTTGTTTTGTTTCTTAAATTTCACATATGAGTGAAAATATGGTATTTGTTTCTCTGTGACTTATTTCACTAGCATTATACTCTCTAGATCCATCCACATTGTTGCGAATTGCAAGGTCTTATTCTTTTTTTTTTTTTTTAAGTTTATTTATTTTGAGAGAAATGGTTCACGTGTGCAAGTGGGGAAGGGGCAGAGAGAGAAGGAGAGAGAGAATCCCAAACAGATTCCGTGCTGCCAGTGCAGAGCCCAATGCAGGGCTCGATCTCATGAACCCTGAGATCACACCTGAGCTGAAATCAAGAGTTGGATGCTTAACTGACTGAACCACCCAGGCGTCCCAAAAATCTTATTCTTTTTTGTGCCTAAGTAATATTCCATCACATGGAATATGTGTGTGTGTGTGTGTGTGTGTGTGTGTGTGTATACATTTGTGTATGTATATAGAGGTTTATGTGTGTATGTGTATATATACATATGTTTGTGTATGTATGTGTATGTATACAGATATACATACATATGTGTATAGATGTATGTATATGTGTATATGTGTGTATATATATGTGTGTGTGTGTATATATATATATTTATACACACATCTTTTTTATCCATTCATCTATTGATGGACACTTGGACTGCTTCCATAATTTGGCCTATTGTACTTAATGCTGCAATAAACATAGGGGTGTATGCATCTTTTTAAATTAGTGTTTTTGTATTTTTTGGGTAAATACTCAGTAGGGGACTTACTGAATCATATGGTAGTTCTGTTTTAATTTTTTGAGGCACTTCTATACTGTTTTCCAGAGTGGCTGTACCAGTTTTCATTCCCACCAACAGTGCATGAGGGTTCCCTTTTCTCTATATCCTCACCAACACTTGTTTATTGTGTTTAAAAAAAATTTTTTTTTTATATATTTCAAGGAGAGAGAGAGCGTGAGCAGAGGAGGGGCAGAGAGAGAAGGAGACACTGAATCTGAAGCAGGCTCCTGGCTCTGAGCAGTCAGCACAGAGCCCAGTGTGGGGCTCAAACTCATGAGCCGTGAGATTGTGACCTGAGCTGAAGTCGGATGCTCAACTGACTGAGACACCCAGATGTTCCTGTGTTTTTGATTCTAGCCATTCTGACAGGTGTGAGGCGGTATCTCATTGTGGTTTTGATTTTCATATCTCTGATGATGAGTGATGTTGAGCATCTTTTCATGTGTCTGTTGGCAATCTGTATGTCTTCTTTGAAGAAAGGCCTGTTCATGTCTTCTGCCATTTTGAATTGGATTATTTGTTTTTTTTGGTGGTGAGTTATGTAAGTTCTTTATATATTTTGGATAATGTTTATCAGATATGTCATTTGCAAATATCTTCTCCCATTCTGAAGGTTGCCTTTTAGTTTTGTTGATTGTTTCCTTTGCTGTGCACCCCTAT